GCCGGGGCTGCGGCACACTGTGGGTGGTATTTCCAGCATTGCCGACAGCACGGCTGAACCTCCCCACTCCTTTTCACGGGGGGGGCAGGGAGCCGGGGATGCCGGCACTGACCCCTCCGCTTGCCTGCCAGGTGAAATGTGTTCTGGATGCCATCCGCGCCAAGAAGACAAAGTTCAATTTCCTCGGAGAGACAATTACCCTGGTCCCGTCGGTCGGGCTGTTCATCACCATGAACCCTGGCTACGCCGGCCGGACAGAACTGCCAGAGAATCTGAAAGCTCTGTTCAGGTGAAAAAAATGTCGCTGGCAGTCGCCGCATTGGCCTCCTCTGCGGTACCGTTCGCGTGCCGTGTCCATGATGTGCCCTAAGGCTCTGCCAGCGCGAGTGAGGATATTTGTGTGTGCTGGTGGCCCTCGCGTAAGGGACACCTCGGCACCCGGCCAGCCCTGCGCAGAGCCCGGTGATGGGCAGAGCTGGGGGGATGCTCAGCCAGAGGAACGGTGCTTGGGGTGGGTAATTGCCCTGAACAGCTAAAAATCTACTTGAGAATAAGAAAAAAAGGCGGGCAAGGGCTGGGAAGGGTGGCCCGGGGGTGCTGTGGGATCTGTCCCTGGAGGAACTCGACATGTGACTGTGGAAGGTGCAGGGTGACCTGATCCAGCCGTGACATGAGCCCTGCAGGGAGTGGGAGGGGGGACAAGAGACCTCCAGGGGCCCGGCAGTAAATTACTCTGATGCCAATGGCTGCAGGGAACGATTTATGTTGGAAACTCTGGTGCAAATTGTTGCTGGCTGCGGGAGGGTGAGGGGCGTGCGGACGCCCAGGCAGAGCCCCACTAACCTGCTGCTGCTCCTCCCCAGACCCTGTGCCATGGTGGTCCCTGACTTTGAGCTGATCTGCGAGATCATGCTCGTTGCCGAAGGTTTTATTGATGCTAAGCTGCTTGCAAGAAAATTCATTACTTTGTACACACTCTGCAAAGAGCTGCTGTCCAAACAGGTAATTTGCAGTATTGCGAGGTGCTTGAAGATGAAAGAGCTCGTCTGAATTTCAGACCTGACGGGCTGCGGTGCGACTGCGGGCAATAACATGCGGGCTGACCTTCTGTGTAGTTCAGGGCTACAGCGGGACAAATTCTGCTTCCACGCTGGTGCATCGTGTGGCATATTTCTGCTTCTGGAAGAAATCAAGGAGTCCAAAAATAGAAAAATGGAATGGAATAGAATAGAAAATAGAACAGAATAGAGAATAGAATAGAAAATAGAATAGAATAGAGCCAGTGAAGATGAGAGCACCCAGAAATTATTCATTTCAGTAGAAGGGGTTTGCAGGGAATCCAGCCAGGCAGCCGTTCACCTCGGGGCTGGCAGGGGCTCGTCTCGTGCATAACCCCCCTTTGAGTCCCACCTGCTGGGCACTGGGGGGTCCCTGGGTGCGGGGGGACAGCTGAGGTGTTCCTCTGCAGCGCTGTTCAGAGCAGCTCTCCCTCACCAAAGTGGAACCATAACACTTGTCTGCCCGTCGGCAGGACCACTATGACTGGGGGCTGCGGGCCATCAAGTCCGTGCTGGTGGTCGCGGGCTCCTTGAAGCGAGGGGACCCCGGCCGCCCCGAGGACCAAGTGCTGATGAGAGCTTTACGGGACTTCAACATCCCCAAGATCGTGACAGACGACTTGCCCGTCTTCATGGGGCTGATCGGAGACCTGTTCCCAGCCCTGGACGTCCCCAGGAAGAGGGACCTCAACT